GACAATTCCCTCTCTCTCTCTCTCTCTCTCTCTTCCTCTCTCTCTCTCTCTCTCTCTCTCTCTCTCTCTCTCTCTCTCTCTCTCCATCTTTTATTCATCTATTAAGCAAACACAATTCTTTTGGCTCATTGCCCTTCAGAGAACCTCAGTTCATTAATGTCTCCCAGAATAATCAGTTCGCGTTTTTCATTCGCTGGGTTATTTTTCCCACTTTCTTTGCAGGGTAAACTCGTGCATTTCATTCTATTGTGAGAATTTGTCGCATCCCATGCTGATTTTCTGCGTCTTTGTATGCGTCTGTACATTCGCGCTGAGCGTGAGGTGTAGTATGGGATGTGGTGTGAGCGTGGAGTAGTGGTGATGTAGGGGATGGTGACCGTGGTGGCAGTGTGTAGTGATGATTTAAGTGGATGTGGATGTGATGATGGATGTGGCTAAGTCCTGACGGCATTCTACATGATTTTATTTCTACTGCGTTACATATACTATGATCATTCTCTCTCTCTCTCTCTCACACACTTTATATATATATATATATATATATATATATATATAAAAATATATATATATATATATATATATATATATATATATATACATACTGGCTGCTCTTGATACTACATAGAACACAGGAAATTATTAATTAATACAAAGAGCTGGACACATATATATGACTACATTAAAAGTGGGAGAGATGAGAGGAGGGAGAATATTGCCACAAGTTCATTTTCTTTCGTGTCAGAGATTAAACTTGGTAAATCCTACCAGCAAAAAATGATAGGCGATTAAGTGATTAACTGGTATCTGTATCACATGTTTTCAGGTGATACAGGTGATTATCTGGACCACTGGATAAATGATTAGATATTTAAGAGAATTCAGGGATTATCGACCAGGATATTCCAGAGTGAATTCGTCTGAACTAAAGACCATACTTTCACACGCCTGCTTTCCCAAGGTGCTTTCACACCCCTGCTTTCCCAAGGTGCTTTCACACTCCTGCTTTCCCAAGGTGCTTTCACACCCCTGCTTTCCCAAGGTGCTTTCACACCCCTGCTTTCCCCAAGGTGCTTTCACACCCCTGCTTTCCCAAGGTGCTTTCACACCCCTGCTTTCCCAAGGTGCTTTCACACCCCTGCTTTCCCAAGGTGCTTTCACACCCCTGCTTTCCCCAAGGTGCTTTCACAGCCCCTGCTTTCCCCAGGTGCTTTCACACCCCTGCTTTCCCAAGGTGCTTTCACAGCCCTGCTTTCCCAAGGTGCTTTCACACCCCCTGCTTTCCCAAGGTGCTTTCACACTCCTGCTTTCCCCAGGTGCTTTCACATCCCCTGCTTTCCCCAGGTGCTTTCACAGCCCTGCTTTCCAAGGTGCTTTCACAGCCTGCTTTCCCAAGGTGCTTTCACACTCCTGCTTTCCCCAGGTGCTTTCACAGCCCTGCTTTCCCAAGGTGCTTTCACAGCCCTGCTTTCCCAAGGTGCTTTCACAGCCCTGCTTTCCCAAGGTGCTTTCACAGCCCTGCTTTCCCAAGGTGCTTTCACAGCCCTGCTTTCCCAAGGTGCTTTCACACTCCTGCTTTCCCAAGGTGCTTTCACAGCCCTGCTTTCCCAAGGTGCTTTCACAGCCCTGCTTTCCCAAGGTGCTTTCACACCCCTGCTTTCCCAAGGTGCTTTCACAGCCCTGCTTTCCCCAGGTGCTTTCACACTCCTGCTTTCCCCAGGTGCTTTCACATCCCTGCTTTCCCAAGGTGCTTTCACACCCCTGCTTTCCCCAGGTGCTTTCACAGCCCTGCTTTCCCAAGGTGCTTTCACACCCCTGCTTTCCCAAGGTGCTTTCACATCCCTGCTTTCCCAAGGTGCTTTCACACCCCTGCTTTCCCAAGGTGCTTTCACAGCCCTGCTTTCCCAAGGTGCTTTCACAGCCCTGCTTTCCCAAGGTGCTTTCACAGCCCTGCTTTCCCAAGGTGCTTTCACAGCCCTGCTTTCCCAAGGTGCTTTCACAGCCCTGCTTTCCCAAGGTGCTTTCACAGCCCTGCTTTCCCAAGGTGCTTTCACAGCCCTGCTTTCCCAAGGTGCTTTCACAGCCCTGCTTTCCCAAGGTGCTTTCACAGCCCTGCTTTCCCAAGGTGCTTTCACAGCCCTGCTTTCCCAAGGTGCTTTCACAGCCCTGCTTTCCCAAGGTGCTTTCACAGCCCTGCTTTCCCAAGGTGCTTTCACAGCCCTGCTTTCCCAAGGTGCTTTCACACTCCTGCTTTCCCAAGGTGCTTTCACACTCCTGCTTTCCCAAGGTGCTTTCACAGCCCTGCTTTCCCAAGGTGCTTTCACAGCCCTGCTTTCCCAAGGTGCTTTCACAGCCCTGCTTTCCCAAGGTGCTTTCACACCCCTGCTTTCCCAAGGTGCTTTCACAGCCCTGCTTTCCCAAGGTGCTTTCACAGCCCTGCTTTCCCAAGGTGCTTTCACAGCCCTGCTTTCCCTAGGCGCTTTCATAGCCCTGCTTTCCCAAGGTGCTTTCACAGCCCTGCTTTCCCAAGGTGCTTTCACAGCCCTGCTTTCCCAAGGTGCTTTCACAGCCCTGCTTTCCCAAGGTGCTTTCACACCCTGCTTTCCCAAGGTGCTTTCACAGCCCTGCTTTCCCAAGGTGCTTTCACAGCCCTGCTTTCCCAAGGTGCTTTCACAGCCCTGCTTTCCCCAAGGTGCTTTCACAGCCCTGCTTTCCCAAGGTGCTTTCACAGCCCTGCTTTCCCCAAGGTGCTTTCACAGCCCTGCTTTCACAGCCCTGCTTTCACAGCCCTGCTTTCCTCAGTTATTTTAAGCCCCTATCTGCAGACTCTGTTCTTTTCCTGGAATTCTCTCCTTGAATATAGAGGTAAGCTCTAGCTCTTCTTTCTGAAAGAGCTGCTCATAAGCCTTCTTGTGTGTGTGTACTCACCTAGTTGTGCTTGCGGGGGTTGAGCTCTGGCTCTTTGGTCCCGCCTCTCAACTGTCAATCAACTGTTTACTACTATTTTTTTTCCCCCACACCACACACACACACCCCAGGAAGCAGCCCGTGACAGCTGACTAACTCCCAGGTACCTATTTACTGCTAGGTAACACCAGGCTACGAGGCCCCCAAGGTGGAGGCCCCGAGGTGTGTGTGTGTGTGTGTGTGTGTGTGTGTGTGTGTGTGTGTTTTGAGGGTGAACAAAAACATTAAAATCCCCGGTGGAAAAAACATTTTGTGTGGGATTGTAGGTTTTATCTGTCGCCCCATTGTGGCGTTCACAGATTATGGTTCCAGTCGTGCTGTCACACAGGGGGGGGGGGAGAGAGAGAGAGGGAGGGAGGGGGGGAGGGGGAGAGGGGGAGGGAGAGGGAGAGAGAGAGAAGGAGAGACGGAGAGGGATAGAGAGAGAGGGAGAGAGGGAGAGGGAGAGAGAGAGGGAGAGAGAGAGGGAGAGAGAGAGAGGAGAGAGAGAGAGAGAGAGAGAGAGAGAGAGAGAGAGAGAGAGAGAGAGAGAGAGAGAGAGAGAGAGAGAGAGAGAGAGAGAGAGAGAGAGAGAGAGAGAGAGAGAGAGAGAGAGAGAGAGAGAGAGAGAGAGACAGAGAGAGAGGAGAGACCGTAGGAAGTGAGAGAACTCTCTCTCTCTCTCAAGGGAAGAATATACTCTATAAATAACATAATTACCTGTAATACACCTGTCTTCTCGGGAACGCCAATGGCATGAGAAAACAATCTATAGATACAACGAGTAGATACACCAAGGTATCTACATCAAAATCTACCAAAATCTACCCCGAAGCATCTACTATAACCTTTCAGGACACACACACACACTTCTCTTCCCCTGCGATTGTGCACTTCTCTTTCCGGTAAGTAAGAGAAGTTACCACTTCTCTTACCTACCTCTTACTACTTTGCCCTCAGTCACAGTCTTGACGACGCCCGTCAAGGCAGAGTCCAAGTGTCCCCGGGCGGTGCAGGGATCAGACACGGGTCCGAGTCTGATCCCCCAAGGCCCGTACCACAGTCCAGACAATCACCAGGGAAGGCTATATAGCCACAGGCTAGGCCACGGGAAAATAATAGAACTCTCGAAATCCTCAACAGGTAATAAACAGGTAGAATATATATATACAAGACTCTCACGGGAATAGATCAAGATAAAGAAAGGTGAAATATTCCAGACAGAAGAAGAGAAGGAGACAGAAGAAAGAAGGAGACAGAAGAAAGAAGGAGACAGAAGAAAGAAGGAGACAGAAGAAAGAAGGAGACAGAAGAAAGAAGGAGACAGAAGAAAGAAGGAGACAGAAGAAAGAAGGAGACAGAAGAAAGAAGGAGACAGAAGAAAGAGAGAAGAGAGAGAAGAAAGAAGGAGACAGAAGAAAGGAGACAGAAGAAAGAAGGAGACAGAAGAAGAGAAGGAGACAGAAGAAAGAAGGAGACAGAAGAAGAGAAGGAGACAGAAGAAAGAAGGAGACAGGAGAAAGAAGGAGACAGAAGAAAGAAGGAGACAGAAGAAAGAAGGAGACAGAAGAAGGAGACAGAAAAGAAGGAGAAGAAGAAGAGACAGAAGAAAGAAGGAGACAGAAGAAAGAAGGAGACAGAAGAAAGAAGGAGACAGAAGAAAGAAGGAGACAGAAGAAGAGAAGGAGACAGAAGAAAGAAGGAGACATGAGAAAGAAGGAGACAGAAGAAAGAAGGAGACAGAAGAAAGAAGGAGACAGAAGAAGGAGACAGAAGAAAGAAGGAGACAGAAGAAAGAAGGAGACAGAAGAAAGAAGGAGACAGAAGAAAGAAGGAGACAGAAGAAAGAAGGAGACAGAAGAAAGAAGGAGACAGAAGAAGGAGACAGAAGAAAGAAGGAGACAGAAGAAAGAAGGAGACAGAAGAAGAGAAGGAGACAGAAGAAAGAAGGAGACAGAAGAAAGAAGGAGACAGAAGAAAGAAGGAGACAGAAGAAAGAAGGAGACAGAAGAAAGAAGGAGACAGAAGAAAGAAGGAGACAGAAGAAAGAAGGAGACAGAAGAAAGAAGGAGACAGAAGAAAGAAGGAGACAGAAGAAGGAACAGGAGACAGAAGAAGAGAAGGAGACAGAAGAAGAAGGAGACAGGAAAGAAGGAGACAGAAGAAAGAAGGAGACAGAAGAAAGAAGGAGACAGAAGAAAGAAGGAGACAGAAGAAAGAAGGAGACAGAAGAAAGAAGGAGACAGAAGAAGAAGAAGAAAGAAGGAGACAGAAGAAAGAAGGAGACAGAAGAAAGAAGGAGACAGAAGAAAGAAGGAGACAGAAGAAAGGAGACAGAAGAAGAAGACCAGAGGAGAAGAGGAGACAGAAGAAAGAAGGAGACAGAAGAAAGAAGGAGACAGAAGAGAAGGAGACAGAAGAAAGAAGGAGACAGAAGAGAAGGAGACAGAAGAGAAGGAGACAGAAGAGAAAGAAGAAGAGAGAAGGAGACAGAAGAAAGAAGGAGACAGAAGAAAGAAGGAGACAGAAGAAGAGAAGGAGACAGAAGAAAGAAGGAGACAGGAGAAAGAAGGAGACAGAGAAAGAAGGAGACAGAAGAAAGAAGGAGACAGAAGAAAGAAGGAGACAGAAGACAGAAGAAAGAAGGAGACAGAAGAAGGAGACAGAAGAAAGAAGGAGACAGAAGAAAGAAGGAGACAGAAGAAAGAAGGAGACAGAAGAAAGAAGGAGACAGAAGAAGAGAAGGAGACAGAAGAAAGAAGGAGACAGGAGAAAGAAGGAGACAGAAGAAAGAAGGAGACAGAAGAAAGAAGGAGACAGAAGAAGGAGACAGAAGAAAGAAGGAGACAGAAGAAGGAGACAGAAGAAAGAAGGAGACAGAAGAAAGAAGGAGACAGAAGAAAGAAGGAGACAGAAGAAAGAAGGAGACAGAAGAAAGAAGGAGACAGAAGAAAGAAGGAGACAGAAGAAAGAAGGAGACAAAAGAGAGAAGAAGAGAAGCAAGAGAGAGGACAACGCCACAGCTCTCTACATGCCATGTTGTTGTCTACTTCCTTGTTTGTTCCGAGGATCCACCTCCCTTCCCCGGCCCGGTCTCTGACCAGCCTGGGGAGGTAGGTGAGCTGGTCCACCAGGCTGTTGCTGCTGGACCAACAGAACATATTTAAAAAAAATGGTAAAAATTATATATTGAAATCCAAATAAACCGGATGGCAACTTGGACTGGGATGTATTACACAACCCGCAAAAATACATCAATACACTGACAACTGCATGATGTATCTTCTACAATCACCACGACAAGGACAACATAAACAATCACACAACAACAAAAAATTACTGGGGAATGTTGACCATTTTAGCCACTGTGTTCCATCAAGAAAATGATTGTCAATTGTTGCGACAAATCCGAGAGAACGTGGTCAATAATTACCAAGTGGGGGGGGGGGGTTTAGGGGGGGTACGAACAGACATGACTGACTAGAAAATCAGATGCGCGTACCGGGGTTCGAATCCCTAGCTCGGAGAGGGGAACTTATATTATATATATATATATATATATATATATATATATATATATATATATATATATATATATATATATATATATATATATATATGTCGTACCTAGTAGCCAGAACGCACTTCTCAGCCTACTATGCAAGGCCCAATTTGCCCAATAAGCCAAGTTTTCCTGAATTAATATCTTTTCTCTAATTTTTTTCTCATGAAATGATAAAGCTACCCATTTCATTATGTATGAGGTCAATTTTTTTTTTATTTGAGTTAAAATTAACGTAGATATATGACCGAACCTAACCAACCCTACCTAACCTAACCTAACCTATCTCTATAGGTTAGGTTAGGTTAGGTAGCCTAAAAAGCTAGGTTAGGTTAGGTTAGGTAGGTTAGATAGTCGTAAAACAATTAATTCATGAAAACTTGGCTTATTAGGCAAATCGGGCCTTGCATAGTAGGCATGGAAGTGCGTTCTGGCTACTAGGTACGACATATATATATATATATATATATATATATATATATATATATATATATATATATATATATATATATATATACCTAGTAGCCAGAACTCACTTTTCAGCCTACTATGCAAGGCCCGATTTGCCTAATAATCCAAGTTTTCATGAATTAATAGTTTTTCGACTACCTAACCTAACCTACCTTTTTCGGCTACCTAACCTAACCTAACCTATAAAGATAGGTTAGGTTAGGTTAGGTAGGGTTGGTTAGGTTCGGTCATATATCTACGTTAATTTTAACTCAAATAAAAAAAAAATTGACCTCATACATAATGAAATGGGTAGCTTTATCATTTCATAAGAAAAAAAATTGAGAAATTATATTAATTCAGAAAACTTGGCTTATTAGGCAAATCGGGCATTGCATAGTAGGCTGAGAAGTGCGTTCTGGCTACTAGGTACGACATATATATATATATATATATATATATATATATATATATATAT